AACAGCTTAAAGCTGGAAATGTATTTGTGTCCGATTTAATGTTATTTAAAGTAAAGAAACAAGCTTACAATTCGTGTTTCCTCCCTTTTTCCTGCAACTCCGATTACCTAACATCAATTTTAATAGAGTTATTAATTCACTGCTAGAAATTGTAAAGTAATTAGCTTGTTTGTTTCTAATTCAACTATCTCATTGTCATTGTCTTGGACCGTGTTGTGCTGTCAAAATAATCATTCACATAGCGTTTGTGGATGATTGCAGCTGCAGCGTCCGGATAAAGTTCAGCGTATTCTTCTGCATTGCGGTTTTTTACAAATTGGCGTTGACGGCGACTCTGGAGCTCTTTACTCCTATGAGAAAATTCATAAGCAAACGTCAGACTGTGCGTGAAACATGGCGGACTTTGTACTATCCTTTCACTTCACCGAAAATTCCCCTTAAGAAACTGTCTTTATTTGAAAATTTTCGACGGTACCGTCCGGCGTGCAGTACACGGTGAGCATGTGGCTCCAAAAGTTCACCTGTCCATGACGTATACCTCCGGTGCCTCTTCGGGAGTTTTCGATACAGAAAACATTGTGCCAGTGTGTCCACGAGTCTGACGAGCATTTGGTGATACATTTCCATTAGGACTCCTCCGAATTCAATCCGACGCTCTCGGAATTGACTAATGACAGCTACCAACGATGCTAACAAATTCGGTCCCTTGAGGAGAAGAGAGTTTAGGGATATCCCGGAAACTTTGGCAGAAGCGTCCCAAACGAGTCTCATTTTCCCAGGCTCTTTGGGATTCGTCACTATGCTTACTGGAAGGTACCACATTTGTCCGGGATCTTCATGCGTTAACTCTTTCGGAGAAGCCTTGTGTGCGTAGCCCTTTCGTAATTATTCACTTATTTGGTGGTGATAGGCATCAGCAAGCTCCGCGTTGTTATACAGCCGCTTTTCCAACTGCTTTAGTCGTTTTAGAGCCATCGGAAGACTGTGGGAAAAATGATGATTATCCGATTTTCAAACGAGCTCACTTTCAAAACTATCACCCGTGCAAACAGTGGTGCTTTCTAAGATGGCTTTGGCTCGTCGGTTATCATCGGATTCTAAAACGGTGCTTGCTGTAATTCCGATGTCTTCTACCAATAAATGATCCCGTAGTAAATCGTGTAGCTCTTGATTGGTGATGCATTCTCCTACGTGGTGTCCAACAAACGTACACCGTCCATCCTAATTTGGATCGCACAGCGATTGGTTCTCCGAGATTTCCGATCCGAGATTCAATCGGGGCAAATAGATGGATATTATCCAAACCAATGAGAATCCTAGGCATGCCGGACAAGTCATCAGCTTGTGAAAGATCTTTCAAGTGATTGAACTTATCTGCTAACTCCGAGTACCGAATGGATTGAACATGTAATTTCATTTCTGTTACGGTATGTGCGTTATTGAGTGGTCACTTTTCACTAGAACCTTTGGCAGAAATTTGCTAATTCATTCGTTTCGAGTTTCTCTCCGTTCTCAAATCCGTCTCAACCAGACTTAACGATGAACCCTCGTCCAAAAAGGCAACTGCATCTACGGAGCAATCCTCGTAATACAACGTGACAAGAACCATTCGGAAGAGCGCGGACTGCTGTTCACCACTGTGCGTGTTGTGGCTGGAAGCTACTTCTCTGTCATCGGCCGAGACGCTAGCCGCTGGATGTATCAGAGGTGCCGCTCATGACATTGGCTTACATTGCACTGGATCTTAAACCTGCAACGAGATTGTCCATGCCAATTCTAACAAGTACTGCAGAGCTTCAACCTATCCACTTCCTTGGTCCTCTCTTCCCACGTCATGGCTTTGAATTTCGGACAGTTCCGAACGCGATGATCCACCTTCTGGCATACGTGGTAGGGCCTCTCTACCGGTATGAATCTTCGAGCCGTTTCCGACACTGCGACATCATTCCACGAGTTTTCTGATGAATCGTGAGAATGCAGAAATCCTCTCTCCTTTGGTTTGATTTGGGAGTACTCCTTCGGTTGCGAATAACGGGTCGCTTCGCTTGCGTCAGCAGCCTTTTCCGCTATAAAATACGAAAATGTTCGAAGTATTGGGTTGGGAAAATCTCGCTTGTAGCGAACCCACTCCATTTTGATGCTAGCTGGTACTTTTTCTACAAGCGGATACGTTGTCAATTTCCTGGTACCTGTTCAATGTCGTTCTTGGAGAAGCGTTCAGCTACGCTGGATGCCCATGGAAGGGGAGCTTTTGAATATGCCCCACGAGGATCCGAATAGCCGAAGGAACTCGATCTTCAGAGTGTGTCCAGTTTGTGAACAGCTTAAAGCTTTAAATGTATTTGTGTTAGATTTAATGTTATTTAAAGTAAAGAATCGAGCTTAAAATTTGTGTTTCCTCCCTTTTTCCTGCAACTTCGACTCCCTAACCTCAATTTTAATAGAGTAATTAATTCACTGCTAGAAATTGTAAAGTAATTAGCTTGTTCGTTTTTAATTCAATTATTTCCTGTACATTACCGTTTAATTATTAAAGTTTGCAGATTTAGAATAATAGATACGCAAAATGATAGTTATTTTAGTGTAAATGTAACTTTGGTCTTCCTAGCGTGTTTCCACTGCAGCAAATTAGGTTTTTTTTTACTTCCTGTTCCTTTTTTCTTACTCCAGCCTGTCAGTTTTCGTGTAACGGCAACTGTAAAGGTTAATTTAAATAGTGAGGTGCGTTCGAGGTACAGAGTGGGCCTAATACCATAGAGGTACCCTAATAAAAATGGTATGGTTAAATTGCTTAACGACGTGTTCGGGGTATCATCCAAACCATTTGTGGAATAGTTCAACCATTTGGGTTATTGTTCGATTATGGCAATTTTTTATTAGGGTAACTCTAAGACCAGAAGGTCCCAAAGAAACGTGCACAACTTTTTGGCTCAGCTCTGGTACTACACAGATAAAAATTCTGAATTTTAATTGTGATGTAAACATTCATTCACGTAAACTTGTATTTCATTTCTCGCAACCGAGCAACTTGTAAACAATGTTGTTTACAAATATGGGCTTTTGTATACAATATTTGCTACATTGCATGAAATGTCTCAGAAATTTACATGATTTATAATGTAAACTTATATGATATGTGATGCTCCATTTATGTGCATCATATTGAACAGAAATTTACACTACTTTTTCGAACTGTGTATCTTCGGTCCCAAGCTAATCGATGCACCCCTCGAAATATAGGAAAATCCACGAACCCCTTATTTTATCTGTCTAACTTTCATAGTGAATTAAAAAAAACATAGTGTAGTACTAGAATTTCGACTAGAATGGGGTAAGTTAATCGATTTGCTTGGAACCAATAGGCTAGTCAAGTAGTGAGCCAATTTAAAATCGTTAGTTTCCACCGGACCGGTTGCTAATACCCCGTACAGACTATGGTTTATATCATGTAATATAGGCTGTCTTGCAATGAGCACTTATGCATCTAGTTTTCACTAGAAATCGTACGTATGAGTGCTCATTGCAGCCTATATTACATGATATAAGCCATAGTCTGTACGGGGTATAACAAATAGTGTTCAGGCATGGTTCACAGCATAAGATTCACACATGAAATAAGTGCTCAATTAAGATTGAGACACATGATGATAACGTGTGGAATTTTGCCATTTGTGCGTTTCATAAAAAATATAACTTGTTGGTCCAGTTTTGTGAAACCGCTGGTAGTAACTCAAACCAAAACTGCTTGACAAAGTTGTCTATACACAAAAATTTCACTTCACTTTAAACTGTAAACAAATACGATCCAACGAAACCGAATATTGTGGAACGTATTTATTTCGCTTACGTTTTCGGAAGATGAACTAGCCAAAGGCTAAAAATCTCCCTAAATAAGCTTACGTTTACTTGTTTCGACAAAGCGTGTCTGTCAGGTTTGATTAATTTTAACTTCACCTGAGATGAGAACTGACCTGACGGATTTCGCTTCGCATGAGCTGTGAACTGCTGTGTTCCACAATCCTACACGCAAACCAAAAATCTATTACAATTAATGTTAGTTCCATTTCCTATCATCCTCTGTTCATGAACATCGCAGCGAATGTTAGAAGTTGACCTTACAGGCGATGTAATGGTTTTTTGCCTTTTTTATTTCGTGTTCTGTCTGTGCTTTCACCTACACAAGCAAGCATTTGCCTTGATTTTTATGTATAACATGGTAGAACGACACACACCCTTGCCGCGAATCTCTCCAGCAGAAAAAGCATACGAAGTCGAGTGTGAGAGGAAAGGAACGCTTCTTGTTTGCTTTTAGGCCAACCTTATTCAGAAGCATGGAGAGAGCAGTATTTTTTTTCGACATAATAAATTTACCTCACTAATACACTCTACATTTTTCGGTCTCCAATTTTCTTGCATCGGACCGCAGCTAGGTATATCGCATCCTCGGTTCATGCGGTCTCCACTTACATCCTCTGATGATGAATCCCACATAATTGTAAGCGAATCTTACATCCACCCGTTGGGTGTACCATTTTCACTAACGAAATTTCATGATTTCACTTGCTTCAAATTTCACATCGCTTCGATTTGTATACTTCGCAAATGGTACCTTAGTTTGTGAAATGCCTCTTATATAGTGTACTGCATGAAAATTCTACCAAAGAAAAGATAATACACAGTTAATACTGTGCATATAATGACCGAGAATTTATAGTTCTACAACCCGATAGTTCCTTCAATATCTCGTTGTGGAGAGTTTTAATTATAGAATCTATAATAATTGAAACCAAAACCGATACTGTGTTCTTCAAGTCTCCTATTTAAATTTAATTTTTGTAAATAAAAGAAACAATCTTAAAATAGTGATCCCCCAACGCGTTTTCCACGAGCGAAAAACAAAAATACCCGCTGGACTTAGCACGTTATTTTCAATATTCCTGCGAAGTAGAAAGATACACAGCTGAGTTGCATACCTTCAGGCTTAGACATAGATCACCTACCTTCATTAGTTTCATATTCTCATCTGCTGAGTCAAGCTTGTTGGTATCGCCAACATCCTGATGATGGTTTTGGTGCTGTTGTTGATGATGAAATTCGGCCAATGTTTTCAGTAGCATGCTTTCCGATGCCTTTGCCAGCTTTTCAGCGTAGTCACTGTTTCCCTCATCATCGTCATCAGTATCATCGGTGTTGGTGTCACCTCCGGTATCATTTTCATCATCATTATCATCGTCGTCGTTGTCATCCCCTGCGTCCTCATCTGAGGATGTTATCGATGCCGACGCTTGAGCTTCTTCCTCCAACTGCTTTTCCAGCTGCGGTAAAATTTCTTCTTTCGTATTGGCTCCTCCACTCGGGGGAGGATGTTTCAGATGCTCTAGCTCGAGTACTTCTTCGTCAATGCTCTGAAAGTTGTAAAGAAGTTTCAAACAGCTTAATCCCACAGCAAACAACATACAGCTAGGAAATAAGACATCAAGAAACTTTACGCATTTGTTTTAGTGCTTTGCGTGGGTTTAGAATCAATTTCGATACGTTTTTCTCATTTATCATTACATCCATACTTGAATAATGCGTATAATAATATACCCTAACCTTCTAGTTGTTTCAGTTCGTAGAATGCGTAGATGATGGATAAAAATTTGACGTCTTGAACAAAGTTGCTTAGTTTTGCATCCTCTACAACTAAAATAAAAGTCAATATTAAATAAAAGAGTCATACAGTGAGTCGCACTAAAGACGAACCAGCTGAACATCTTTTGGACATATACAAGATATTGGATGATGATCATTACCTTGCCAATTTGAAAATGGAGTCTAAAATTTTCCAAGTTTACACTTTACTCGCCATCTTGAGATTTTTGTTAAGCTCCAAGAGAACAAAAATATTGCCATGACCTAATGATTTTGTTTAGTCTAAGTTCTACAATATTACAGAGTATAAAAAAATATATGTTGCCATAAAGTAAAGCTTGATCATAATAATTGTTTAATAAACATGGATCTTGATAAACCGAAAATTAGATTCAATGGATTAAAAGCATGGCTGATTTTTACAACAGATGTCGCTAGTAAAAGTAGCTAGTAAAACGCTTCAGCGATTTATGTTGAATCGGAAATGAGAAATGAGAAAACCGGAAAATGTTGATTTTCCCGGCGGGGTGTCCTCGAGTTGGGTGTCCCCAGACTTGCCCTTCTGATCAGGGATGCCACACATACAGATTTTTGTATACTATAAAAATTGGGCACCCTTGTTTATTTTGATACCGGAATAAATTACCATAAGTTTGATAGCTCAAAAAAGTTGTTTATTTTTAGAACAATTTTTTTGGAAAAAGGATCACATTCATCAAAATACAAAGAAATATAAAGGGGTGCCAACGTTTTTCGTGTCCATTAATCTGTTTATGTGGCATGGGATGTCGAGACTGGAAT